ATATATATATATATATATATATATATATATATATATATATATATATATATAAATTGCACAAAATACTACAGTGTCGCAAGGGGTGACCTAATTGAGGTGTATAAGCATCTCAAGGGGCACTACTCAGTCGGGTGTCCTTACATGGAGCTGGCAGACGCTCGCCCCACAAGAGGTCACAGCTCAAGGTTGAAGAAGCCGCAGGTCCAGAAAACTGTGAAGGGCAAACTTTTTCGGAGTGAAAGTTGTAAACTCTTGGAACAATCTGCCAGAAAGTGTTGTGACGGCATCGAGTGTGAGCTCTTTCAAGACCAGACTTGACCAACACCGGCGCAGGTTCAAGTACATTCAGGAGCCGGTGCATGGCCAGTACTTGTCAACAGTGTGTAACAGAGACGTGACCGATTGCCCAAGCGGCTAATGAGCCGATCAGTGGTGAAGAAATAAAAGTAAAAGTAAAACAGTGAAATTGCAGCATATTTATAATCATTTATTATGCAAAATCACCGATGGGTCAGTCATCAATAATTACCCAGATTTCGAGTCTTCCAAGTCTAATTAAGGTAAGCACACAGGTAATGTGATTCAGACCAACTGCGAGGTAAAGTAAGAGGTAATTATGCAGTTTACAGCAACCACAAAATTCCAGAATTCACTACACTCAATCGATAGAACTATTCTTTCTATGATAATTTTCTCATATTACTGGTAGTACCCACACCGTGGGAATAAATTGAGAAAAATCAACTTTTCCAAAAACAATTTTTATCCTTTTTAAATGATAAAACAATAAAAAATAGGTATAAGTAAGAAAACTATATATTGACCCTGTAGAAACTTCCCTGGCCATGCGGAGGGAGGGAGGAGGGGGGGGTAGATAAGAGAGAGTGTTGGTTTGACAGCTGATGCTCGTGGTCCTTACGCACTTAACAGCTATTTTTAGCTTGCCTTTGTGTCCGAGGTGGCCAAAAATTTGCGTTATTTTTCATAAAAAGTGCTTGGCAACAATCACCAGTTGGTCGCCAGTCTGCCTGGCAGTCTTTGTGTTTGGTAGAGCAAGTAAAGCATAAAATAATAATAATTCCACAAATAAATACATTTATAACATAATCATAGCATTATTTACAGTAATACTACACTACAATACAACTACACTACTTTTAGCAATATTACTTTGATACAACATGATAAAATAGACAAACAATGAAAATGAAACAAACAAAAGTAGGTAATTATGTTCAGGAAGCTTCCCTGTGGCCGAGCGTGTGGTGTGACAGGCAAATAGTAACACTGGAACCTGATAACTCGCACTGGGCATTTAAACAGTGGCGGGAATAGGCGGACGTTCTGGAACGTCACCGCGGCCTGAGGGTTAAAAAGAATAAAATCAGAGCACCTGTTGTCCCTATGCTGTTCCTCAAATTGTGTGTTCGTACGTTCGCTTACCTCCCGCGCATGTGCTGGGGGGCTGCCGCCAATCAAATCAGGGGTGGCCGCAGCCAATCAAATCCAGGGCGGCAGCCAATCAAATCCAATAAAATATCTCAACTTTTGATTCAACCATTAGCGTTCAATATTTCGGGTTTCTAAGATGCGGGACATTTTTAATCAGTTGCAACATGGAGCCATAACGCGCTGGGTGCGATTTCGATTATTGGAAGTTTATCGTATTATTCCATTCTAAAAATAAGGAAACTTTAGAGAACTGAGGAACTCACGACGTATTCTGGTCCCTGACTCAGACTCTGAGTAAGGTAAGAAATACCATAACAGCTACAGTGACCCCTCGTTTAACGAACGCCTCGGTTAACGAAATTTCGGTTAACGAACTGCCTTCCATAAGGATCTTCAATTCAGTTAACGAACAAAAATTCGGTTGACGAATTTCTTACGAACCGACCTCAACATGTTTTCGCTTGCAATGACCGGGCAATCAGCTTTAGTATCAGTCCGCCAATACATTAATCGGTTCTAGGGCTTAAATTCCTTACTATTTTAGTAAATATCAAGAAGTTTATACTATTCAATAATTTTAAAAGTTTAATATTAACTTTTTTAGTCATTTTAACAACTATTGAACATAACTGAAGGTAAAGAAACTATTTTCTGGTGTGCCATCCAGCCTGTTAACACACCAGACAGGCGTTAGTCTCTCTCTGTTTTCAGTGTAGGTAACATCTTGCTTGAGACTCTCTTCAACTAAACGCTTTTTTTCTGTTTCCAAGCCAATTATTGGTCATTTTGAAATATATTTTACATATTGACAATATATAATGCAGTGCAGTGTTGATTTAAAGAAAATAATCTTGAAATACACCAAGAGAACTAAAATTTTATGGATGAAATGGTGCCATGGGGTGACTTCTCTTCCACCCCAATGCCTTTTCTTCTTCCTTCTCCTCCACCCCCATTCTAATTCCCATCATCATCATCCAGGAGCCTTCTACATACACACCTCAAAGTAAGTGAACTTTTCTACCATTTTTGTTGAATTTAGGAAATTTTCGGTGAGCTGGAACTAATTACCCAAAAACCCATTGAAACAATGGTTTCGGTTAACGAACGACCTTCTGGAACGGATTGAGTTCGTTAACCGAGGGGTCACTGTATTTATATTCTCGTGGAGGCAGACTATGCAACTCTAGGGTTATTACATAGCATTTGGGGGTCTTAGGGCCAGGCCCCCGGCAAGTGATCACCGGAAGTTAGGGGGCAGAGTCCCCAGCTTGGTTGTCAGGTAAGGTTTAGTTTGGTTATATGGTATAAGTTAGCAAGCACAGAGTACTAGGAATTCAGAACATGCAATCGTTAGAACTATTATGAAGAGGGGGGGGGGGGCTAAATCACAAACGAGTGATTTCCGACAAAAACGAAGGTCAGATTTGAACTAATTGCATTAAAACCCATCAGAAACCAATTTTTTCTTAAATTCCATGGTTGCTGTAATATGCACATTTATTAGGCTAGGTAGGTTTCTTTGGTTAGGTTGGTCAGTTCTGGTTCTATTAGGTTCTGTGTATTTTAGTATAGTTTTTATTACTTACTATTATCCAAAGAAAATGTTGAAAAAATTTGCAAAAACGAAGAAAAATATTTTGGCAGTAGTTCACACAACTTTCCTACCCCAAATCTATTATCATAATAAAAAAAGACGTCTAATTTTAAAATAATTTTCTTCTATTACATTATCGTCCCAAACGTATAATAACGGAAAAAGCGCATGCCAAATCATCCTCTTATTTTCTTCCATTAATCTTACGCCAATATCGCCTACTCAGCCTCCCACTCAGCGTGTTTCCTTCATAAATCGTCATGTGTGTTCCCGTACACGTCACGTGGCCATCAAACGCGTTTTTTTTTCTACCAAGTAAATGAATTGTAGTTTAATTCACGGTATTTTTTGCCCAATCAGATTTGGTTGTAATTTTGGGTCACACATATTCGAAATTAAAATTCAATTCCGACCATGGAAGTTTGCGATGGGTGAAACTTCAATTATAAGGAGTTGATTGCGCATTTTGAGGAAAAAAACGAACAAGCTACAGAATTTTTTAGATCTCATGGTGTTATCCCGATCTCAGTAAAGTGTCTTAAGTGCAAGAACGAGTGTAAATATCGTCAAGACCAACATAGTTGGCATCGGTGTCAGCCACCTGTACTGATCTCAGAATCCGACGACGAACCAGAACAGGTATTATTTTCTTGTAGCTCCGTTCATTCCTACCACTAAACTATTATCATATTCGAATAAGACGTCTAATTATAAGATAATTTTCATCTATTACATTACCGGCGGAAATGTATAATAACGGAGATAGCTTTTCCAAATAAATTTCTATTTTCTTCCATTATTTCCCGCCATTATCGTCTGCCTCTCACCTAACACTGCGTGTCTCTCGCGTCTCCTTCATAAATCATGACGCGCAAGCGTACCCATACACGTCACGCGGCCAATCAAAAGCGTTTTTGCTAATTCAGAGTATATTTGGCCCAATCAAAATCGAGTTTTATTTTGGGTCTCTCATATTTTGAAATTCAAGTTCAGTTCCGACCATGGAAATCTGCAATGGATGTCACTTAAAGTATATGGAGCTGATTGCGAGTTTTTGAAAAAAAAAATGTAGAAACTATAGCATTTTTTCGATCGCATGGTGTTCTTCCAACCTCAGTAAAGTGTACTAAGAGGAAGACGGAATGTAAATATCGCAAAGACCAACATATGTGGTGTTGTGTAAGAATCCCAGAATGCAACGACGAACAAGAACCAGGCCAATAAAGTAAGAAATAGGTGATTCTATCATATGGTGGTGAGTCAGTTAAGTTAGGTCAGGTTAGGTTAGGTGTGGTTATTGTTTTTCTAGTGTTTTATTATGTATTTGTTAGTCGCTTGGGCACTTTTTTTCTCGGAAAACGTCAAACGAAACTAAAATCGCAAAAAAAACCCCCGGCTAATTTCCGCAAAAAAGGAAGGTCATATTCGGTCTCAGCACACACAAATACACTAGAAAAATATATTTTTAACTTGCTACAAGTGAACGGAGCTACAAGAAAAATTTTCCCCCAGAACAAGTGATTCTATCATATGGTGAGAGTTAGGTTAGGTCAGGATAGGTTAGGTCAGGATAGGTTAGGTTAGGTTAGGTCATCCCAAAAAGGTTCGGTTTATATGTTTTTCTATTGTTTTTGGTGTATTTTGTATTCGCTTGGCCATGATTTTTGTGGGAAAATATGCACCACCCAACACCCCTGATAACTAAAAAAACAGGCAATTTCCGACGGAAATCAAGATCAATCAATCAAAGCACAAAAATACACTCGAAAAACATAGTTTTGACTTTCTATGAGAGGTGTGTGAACTGAAGCAAATTTACTCTAACAAATCCTTGATATGAACAAGTGCACCATAAACTCTACCAATGTTTCAAGTTTGTACACTCTACTCTACCGACAGTAGGTATACAAAGTACAAACATCACCCAGCTGACCGGGCAAGAACTTCTCACCTGCACCACGTCTCAATGATATGTATCCCTTAACACGAGATATCTTTTGCTAAACTCCAGGAAACAAGAGTTTAACTGGCGTACGTGATCCACCAAACGTTCACACAGGTGAAGTTACAAATGCAGTAGTGCAGTACACGTGTGAAAAAGGCTCGGCATGTGGTACAACTTCTACCTCTTTACGGTCTGTTTCATATTGTAAGTTTGTACCCGTATTTAGACAAGCTGAAACACCATCATATACTCGATACTCTCTAAATATTTATTATGTGTAAGAAAAAGGTGTAAATAGTTGAATTTAATAGTAAAAAAAAAGGTGTCATCAAAGAAACTGATGGCAACTTTAACCAGCTAATGTTGGTTCAATCAGAACTACTGTAGCTCTTGAGAGCGAATTCAGATGCTTCACAGCGCAGTGTTGCCATAAGCAATTTTATTATTGTATATTTACAATATATTTTATATAAACATACGTAAAAATCGGTGTATATCCGCGCACGTTCATACATGAATATATAAATAGACACACATTACTAATATTCACAAACATTACATTTACAAACACTGATGTTAGTACACACACACACATATTACATGTAGATCCACAATGAAAACGTGGATAAGATAAATCTTGATAAAATCACACGGGAAAAGGGAAACAACGGAGCACCTTAGCTTTCGTCTTTATTCAAGACATCTTCAGAGGCAACACACACACACACACACACACATATATTATATATATATATATATATATATATATATATATATATATATATATATATATATATATATATATATATATATATATATATATATATATATATATATATATATATATGCAAGTAAATCACTGTAAGTGCGCGTGATCCAGGTACAGAGTACTCACCCCTGAAGATGTGAATTACACGAAAGTGCTTGGGAACTTTGTGTTTTCTTTTTCCTTGTGGTTATCAGCATATATATATATATATATATATATATATATATATATATATATATATATATATATATATATATATATATATATATATATATATATATATGTAATGTATATCTGTAAAACATCAGGTCAGGTCAATAACATGGGATCCACTAATCCACACACAACGTACACCGCACACGAAAGAGCTTACAAAGATTTTAGATTTAGATTGCTCACGAGGGGGCGAGTTCATTGGGCACCCCTTTACATCCTGTGCTAGGTGAAGCGCAGAAGCGTTTACAGCGCCCATCTGGGAAGCATGCGGAGTTCATGCTTGCCTTTATGACTCATGCATTAAGGGCATAAAAGCCTGAAGGGTCATGGCTTTTGTCAGCAAGCTCCATAAAGTGACAGAATGATGAGTGTGTGGGGGGAAAATTCCCGGTACAATTTATTTGTTTATGGCAAAGTGTGGCAGGTTCCTAATAATGTTGAGTGCCAGGCCTGTCACTAGGAGGAGGGATATCTGGGCAGGGAGGGCAGAGGTGTTGGTAACGGCTGGGGACCTGTAGGAGGAGGTCATAGGGCAAGTGAGGATGTAGTGAGAGAGGGTGTGAGAGTTGGTTGACCACAAAGTTTACAAACAGCGAGGCCAGGCTCAGGGTTGCCAATGTACTAGGCGTGGCGAAGTACAGTGGGGGTGGAGATGATGTGGTGGGACAGGTACATTAGGGGTGGAGAGAGGCACATAGGCATTGACAATATTGAGGGACATGCCTTTTAGTGTGATTGTGATGGCGTGTGCATCGACATGCTGGTGGGGTATGGGTAGCTGGGGGTGGTGTCCTCAGGTCCAATAGGTAGCCCTGGTGGAGACAGCACAGACACAGCAGCGGGCGCGGCTTGCGGTGGGTGGAGGACAGGTTGAGGCACCAAGTGTAGTGAAGATGAGGCAGGACTTCGCTCGGGGGTAGCAGGACACACACCGGGGCAGGCTCGGTAGGCGCTTCACCAGTAGTGAAGGCCGCCGGCGGTGGAGTAGGCCGTGAGCAGGGGGGGCTCACAGGGAGACTACCAGTTTGTGTCAAACCAGAAGAGAGGAGTGACTGGGTGGCAACAGAGGGCAAGAGTTGGCGGTGTAGGTCGGAGATGGTGGTACAGAGTGTATCGAAGAGTTTTTCAATACAGTTGGTAAATTCTTGGAAGAGGGATACGATCTGTATCAGGTCACTGGAGGGGGGTTGTGGGGGGGCACCGGTGGGAGCACAAGGCCTGGCAGCGTCAGAGTACAGACGGGGAGGAGGCCCAGTAGTAGTTGAGTTAAGAGACGGCCTGGACTGCTGTGTTGCAGCCAGGTGAGGCCACGCAGGGGCAGATGTTGTTAAGGAAGGCATTGCCGGAGACAGAGGAGACACAGAGGGGTGTGGCCCGGTAGACTGGGGGGCAGGGCGTAAGAAGGCGGCCTCAGGGAAGGCTTTTCCCCTGGGACAGACAGGCGATTGGGGCATTGCTGTGAGTCAGCATTGTGCCGGCCGCCACAGTTACAATACCTGGGATCAACTACATAGCCCACACTACCCCTATTAAGGTGGTATTTGATTTTCTGGGCACAGGCGGCGGAGTTATGGTTACGTGAACAGAAGCGACATCTGGGACGATCACAGTGCTGGATTAAGCTTAATAGGGGCCTGAGGCACAGATCAGCTTGGGGGCCCCCTACCAGGTGATCCATCCCGCCACATAATCCAATATAAACATACCCATTCCTCATATTTCCCTTCCAAATTATCCATTATTTTGCACTTCACATAATTCTTTGATCATTCATAACTTATTACTGAAGTTATATACATCATTGTTTACCTGAAATGGTCCTCCAATACGAAAGTCTGGCACCGTACCGTCCGTACGTCACAATGGAGTCCCGGATCAGCTGAGTGTCGTCAGCTGCTGCTGTAGAACAGACTAACAGTTGCCACACGCCACTACCGAGTCACTAAAATGTATATGTATGGTCCAATTGGACACATTAAGAACGAAATAATTAATGGCTTACTTACTAATTGACCATTTAATGGCATATATAGCTAAATATTTTTATCCTTAGAATCTGGGGGCCCCTAAGAGTCTGGGGGCCTGAGGCCAGTGCCTCAAGTGCCTCATGGTTAATCCAGCCCTGGACGATCACGTCGGCAGCAGGCAGTGAAGGTGTGGCCCCCAATGAGAACAGAAAACACAAAATGCAGGCCCAGGATGATAAGCTTCTGCATACAGTGGAGGTAGGAGTGGGTGGGCATCCACAGTGGTTGGGCACTCCCTTCCCTTCCACTTGACAGTGACAGCAGCTTGTGGAGTCTTTCCCCCTGTAATGTCGACATATACTGAGTATACTAGAATTAAAGTCACGCACATCTTCGATGTCAGCGTTTAGGGTGAAACGTTTCACTAGGATGTGGCAACATTCATCAGCATTTAGGGGAGGGGGGGCTCCAGGACAACCCCGTCAAAGCCAACAGTACTAAGTGTTTCATAGACCTCAGGAAACTGACACTTGATAAAGTTCAGGTTCTTTCCTTGTCGGAATTGAATGTTGAAACCGTGCTATCTGCTGCACTTTCTCTTAAATATTAATTGTGTGTGCATACCATCTCTAAAATTAAGATGTTATTTTTACTACAACTTACGTATTGTGTCGGAAAAAGGGTAATGTAGCGGTCAGCCCAGTCTCTATTTCAATTAATCCTATATGTTCTGTTATTTTATTTACGCGTTTCGCGTTATACGCAGACCTCCACGGGTTTAATTGACCTCGTAAACCCAGACTATACTGTGTGTGTGTGTGTGTGTATATATATATATATATATATATATATATATTCTGATAACCACAAGGTTATCAGCATATACCTAGATCACGTGCACCTACAGTGATTTACTTGCATATATATATATATATATATATATATATATATATATATATATATATATATATATATATATATATATATATATATATATATATATATATACACTTGGGCGATCGGTCACGTCTCTGTTACTCTGTTACGCACTGTTGACAAGTACTGGGCATGCACCGGCTCCTGAATGTACCTGAACCTGCTCCAGTGTTGGTCAGGTCTGGTCTTGAAAGAGCTCACACTCGGTGCCGTCACAACACTTTCTGGTAGATTGTTCCAAGAGTTCACAACTCTCACTCCGAAAAAAATTGCCCTCACAGTTTTCTGGACCTGCGGCTTCCTCAATCTTGAGCTGTGACCCCTTGTGGGGCGAGCGTCCGCCAGCTCCAAGTAAGGACACTCGACTGAGTAGTGCCTCTTGAGATGCTTTTACACCTCAATTAGGTCGCCCCTTGTCCGTCTGTAGAATAAGCTAGGCAAGTTCAGGCGCTCCAATCTCTCAGGGTAGTTGAGGTGCCGAAGTGCAGGCACCAATCTGGTGGCCCTCCTTTGAACATTTTTAACCAACTGACAGTCCCTAGCATATCTCGGGCACCAGACGGGGTGACAGTACTTCAGATGGGGAAGTACTTCACTCTTGAAGATCGCTACGATCTTCTTATAAGACCCAATAATTTATTTGCCTGATTTACCTTCTTCTCGCAGTGGCCCGAGAACTTCAGCTCATTGTCAACATACACACCTAGGTCCTTCTCACATTCAGTCTGAAATAGTGCAGTTTATTCATCCCGTTGGGACATATGATACGCCTCCTTACCGTTGGTACGCCCCAGGTGCATCCTCTTACACTTCGTGCCATTGAATCTCAGCAGTCATTTCTTCGACCATTCTTGGAGCCCACAGAGGTCCTTCTGCAGCTCTTCACAGTCCGCTTGGTTCTTGATTTCCCGAAATAACTTGGCGTCATCGGCAAACATTTGTATGGAGGAGTGTACAACGTCATATACTGCCAGACTGGGGTCACTAATCCTAAGGGGGAATACTTAACTCTAATCTTAATTTCTAAGGGTCGCTGCCACCAAACCCCCTCTGGACAGCATATAGCTCGTTAGGTAGCGTGCAAAGTGGACTAGGCATTGGGTTAGGTTTTTCATTGACCAGATCGATAAGGGGAAAGAAGGGTGAAACCACAACCTGTCTTAGTCCTTTCAAATGTTCCTTCTACTCACTTAAGTTCATTTTTGGTACTACCTAACCACAGTTCTTCTTGGTAGCATGTCGATGGTCTAGGCACATGGGTAGTGTAATTCTGATATCAGGGTCACTTGGACGGA